AAGGGTCTTCTGAAGAAGGGTCTAGGCCCGAAATGTCAGCCTTCCTGCTCCTCTGATGCTGCTTGGCCTGCTGTGTTCATCCAGCTCTACACCTTGTTATCTCAGATTCTCCAGCATCTGCAGTTCCTACTATCTCTTCCTTTATAAGTAACCTGATTTAACTTTAACACAGTTGTTTCTGACCACTGTTTTTCCCTCTCACACTGGATGCTAAATTGTTGTGGTCACTCTTTCCTAGATGAACTTTAACTCTGGCATCATTTATTAAATGCATAATTAAAGCAAATACTGCAAATGCTGGAAATCAGAAACAAACATAGAGAATGCTGGAGAAACTCGATAGGTGTGACAGCATCTGTGGAAAGAGAAACAGAGTTAACATTTCAAGTCTGGTATGACTCTTCAAGAGAACAGATGAAGAGTTATACCATACTTGAAACATCAGTGTGTATTTTTCTCTCTTCACATATGCTGTCACACATGCTGAGTTTCTCTAGAATTCTCACATTTCTTAAATCTACCTGATTGCACATTAGCACACCTAAAATAGTCTCATCCCTGATTGGACCTGCAATATATTGTTCTCAGAAACTGTCCTGAATGTATTCTATGAATTCTTCTTCTTGACTTCCTCTGCCAATCTGACTATCCCGATCAACATGTAGATCAAAGTCACCTATATGATTAATGTACTGCCTTTTTTACATGCTCATTATCTCCTGATTTATCCCTATCCCACCATATAGCTACTGTTAAGGAGCCTATAGATTACTCCTACTAAAGTCTTCTTCCTTTTTGCCTTCACCAATGGAGTCTACATTTTCTGATCCAAGATGGACTGGACAGATGAGATGCAGGGGGGTTGTTTTCCCTTTTTGCAGAATCTACAAAAAGATACCGTACTCTCACGTTCCAGGATAGCCACTTAGGAGTGACTTGAAGAAAAATTTCATCACCCAATAGGTAGTGAACCTATCATTTTGCAACTTCAGCATGCTGTAAATGTTGAGTCATTGAATATATTCAAGAAGGAGATGAATATTAGATCTGTCCTTTTGAAATCCTCTTGCTTTGTAAGCCTACTTATATGGTATCTCAAGCCCTTCACTCTCTAATTAGTTTAAAGCCCTCTCTACAGCCCAAGTTATTCAATTCAATAGAACACTGGTCTGAGCATAGTTCAGGAGAAGTCCATTCCTCCAGAAAAGCTCCCTTCTACCCCAGTACTGGTGCCAGTGCCCCATGAATTGAAATCCATTCTACCCATACCAATCTATAAGTCAT